CAGTCAAAAGCATAAGGGCTGAAGGAAATATTTCGTTTTTTAGTTGCCAATATAACAATTATTATCATCATCATTATCATTTATATGCACCATATTTTTTTTTTTTCCATTCTTCAAAATATGCATTCTCGTTTTATTATTATTCTGCAGTGAGGCAACAAAGTGTACATAGATAGAGAGGATTTTTGACAGCTGGCATTCCAACTGTGTAAGGAGATATCGTAAACACTGTGTCAGAAATAACTCAGACTTTACAGAGCCGATGCCTTGAAATGTGCTTGAAACATCCCTGGAATATGCATGGAAATTCCATGTGTGAGTGGACAGGCCGACACATTGTGAAGGTGGCAGCTGCTTTGAGTATGTGGCTAAAAACAAGAGGACGGGGACAGGACACGTTTAGAAAAACTCTTCGACAGGAAATGTGAACAGCAATTTGAATTCTGAAGTTTCGTGAGAGAGAGAGAAATGGTGGTGGCGAGGGAGGTAAGATGAGTGAGAGTGTATAAAAGTAAAGAAAGAGACATTTTGGGCCGGTGCAAGCATTGCATCCTGTAGGAATGTGGTGCGGTTGCCGTGTTCGTGTGGGCAGGGTGTGTGTGTGTGTTTGTGTGTTTGTGTGTGTGTGTGGAGGAGAAAACTGGGAGTAGACAGGGAGGGGTTGTGTGAAACAGAAATGAGATTGGTCTGAGCTTAGGGCCTAGGTGTCCATCAGAGAACATACTGTAGATACACGCATTGGTGACTTAATTTGAAAAACACAGTGATACACAGACAACTCTCTTTAAGGCAACATTCATAAGTGGATCTCACTGAAACACACATTGCGTGCATAAACCCAAGTCAGCCAAAATAAATAAACAGGCCTAAATACGTGCCTGTGCAGAGATTGTAGCTCTTTTACGTCATGTGCCAAAGCAAAGGCACTCCCCACGGTCCAGGATTGTTAATGACAGGAGCTTTAGCTAAATCCTACAGCATTCACAGCATTACAAAAGACTGTACTGGTGAGTGGACCGGCTAACCTCACTATTTGATATTCGATACAAGGCACGAACCTGTGACATACAATGCACAAATGATGTATAACCAACAGTGCACTTAAACAAAATCGGACAAATCCCCACCAGACAGGTTTTGTTTAGTGATGAAACGTATTTATTAAAACAACGGCACTTTGGAATCCAAGATGGTTTCTCTCCCGGGAACCTGAATTTGAATGGGAAAGTGATCTGGTGGTACCCCCACACTGAGCGCCACATACATTGTGTTGGGCCTCAAAAAAGACAATGGCCTATACCAGCTCGCTGAGCAGCATCCACAAACCAAGTGACCTACATGACGTCCACACATGCCCCGCTGCCAAGAACTGCATGTCTACAGGCGATCTGCTGGGGCCACCGGGGTTGTGTTGAACTGAGGCCTCTAGCCAAAATAGCAATCTTTGTGTTATGACACAAAGCACTGACGCAACATTTTGTATCACAGAATTGTAACTTAAACCGATTCCCGTTTACTGTAAACGGAAGAAAGAGAGAGGACAGAGAGAGAGAGAGAGAGAGAGAGAGAGAGAGAGAGAGAGAGAGAGAGAGAGACAGACGCTGAGAGAGAGTTAAGAGCGAGAGCGAGAGCAAGCAAAGTGGATTAGATTTGTATACCAACGTACACTGCGGTCTGATAAGCTGCAGGAAGGTTGGACACGCTGCCCTGCTGTTGTACTGTTGTGACTCACACACAAACACCCACTCTGTGCATGCACAAGATACAAATGCATGCATGTGAATTACACAAGCGAAAACAGAGACCTACGGCCATATCAGCATGTGTAAAAAAAAACCCTCAAGAAACTGCCTCTAACCATAACATCACAAACACTCCTAGATGTTCCGCATCCTGACTTTCATTAATCAGTGTCTGCAGCAATCGTGCTCAGCCCTGTTTTGCGGAGAGTTTATTCTCTAAATTGAAGTGACACATTTCATGAGCTAAATAGAGGCTGCTGTTATTTACTGATTTGATCATAGAGGAGGGTCTGACTCTCTTTATTACAATAAGGCTGTGATTTTTAAAAAAGGGATCCATCTCACTGTGAGCCATTTCTATGTTGACTGGCAATATTGCCCCAACTCCGAGGATATAAAATGGCACACACACACTGAGATAAAGCAATAAAAAAACAAAATCCTCCTACACCAGGCTCTCTCCTTTTCCTCTAGAAATGTAAAGATAAAATGTTTTGTTATGTTTGATGCCAAGCTTTGCTGCACAAACACACACAGACAAACAGTGAGCTTTTAAAGAGAGAGAGAGGGAGCCTCAATAAATGATCAACAATTTTCATCCAAAAATCCCCTCACATCCATGTCTGACTCTTCCGGAAGGCAGCTGTTGCTGGATGCTGCCATGCATGCAGCTGCAAACAAAGGCTTGTGTGCTGCCAAAGTGGGCTGCTGCTAAAAGCCCAAACACTGCTGGTGTTTCATAATGTCCAACCCTTGTCTGTGTGTATGTCAGCTGAAAGTCTCCTGCTGCCCTAACGCCTTCCAGTTTACTCTTTACCAATTTAGTCTGCTCTTTAGTCCCCAATGCGTGTCATGCAGGGGGAGGGGGGCACTAACAACCAAATTACCCATGGCAATTGCAGCAGCACAAGGGGTCTATTTGTAAGAAGTGGCTGTCTTCTTCCTGGAAACAGACATTTTTTCTCTTCTACCCAGCAAATGAGAGGCACTTCCTTCCTTTATGCACCTCTGTTGATCCAATGAAAATGTTGAATTTCATATATCGACATTAATCATTTCCACTCCCTCTTTCTCACCCCCCCCCCTACACACAGACACACTAGAGAGAGCTACAGTGTGTGAGTGGGCCTCTCTCCCTCAGTGTGGCTGCTGCTGCAGCTGCATGCCTGCCTGTGTTTATTTCTGGAAGCTCACAACATGGCCGACATGTGCTTTGTTATTGTTAGTACAACATCATCCCTGCTGGCCTATAAGGGCCGTTTATCACCACATCCCGACCAATGCAACACAGCAGCCTTAAAGAAACACCATCTGAAAAGTATGATTGATAGAACTGAAGAAACAGGACAATGAACAGCGTTTAAAAAGCGTGTTATTATGTATATATATTTATATATATATATACACACACAACCCCCCTTCCTCCACCATCGTCCTCCTCCCTCCTGAACTCACCATTTGATGATGATGGCCGTATGGAATATTTGTTTCTTGGAAAAAGGCACTGAGGGCAGTCTACAATGAAAACACACAGAGGATTAACTGTATTATTATGCGTGTGGCGGTTTTACATGAAGTCAGAGACACAGAATCCGTCTGATCGTCGCTCGTTTTCACTGTTGACACAAATAAACGAGCTTAGAAACCGGATCTTTCGGAGCTGGATCTATATTCGCCTCAGACTACAGTTTAGTAGGCTAGTCGATACAACACGGTGGTCATCTTTATTGCGTAATAGCCCTCGCTGGCCTCGCCTGTTCGCCGCTGTCATGTGTCGGATTACTCCATTTAATCTGGAGTAAAGTCTAATTGGATGTGCTCGGCTGTACGCTTCGCCCCGCCGCATGCCTGTGTGTCCCCTGCTGATTTAGCCTGGCTAAAGCTAAACAGATACTTTAAATACAGCTAACAAACTTCTGGCTTCAGGGAGGAACACTCACACACTCACACACACACACAAAACACACACACACAGCAGAGGGCTAACACTGCCGCTTTGTTTTTGTGTTAGTTTAATAAAAACAGTAGCCAGAGGCAGGGTAATATTAAGCTAGGCTACATTAAAAGCTTACGGTCGCTCGCAACGTAAACACACCGACGCCATGTTTCCTCGCTATATTGTTTCTCCTCGTTGTCGTGATGTTCTTACCTCGAACTGCCAGTGTGCCGCCTGCAGAAGCTGCTTCGCCTGGTCTGCCGCACAACCCGCCGTCAGGACGAACTGGTTAATCATGACTTGATGTTTGAGTTCATCCATTTTTCGACGAAGCCCGGTGTCCTACTCGCGGCGGCTGGCTCTGGAGCTCTCTTCTGTAGCGATCCTCTCTCGGTTTTCTTCTCTTCTTCGCCCCAGTTGTATTCCGCTCCCCTGCCTTCAGTCGTCCACCATTACAGCCGGTTGAGCAAACACAAATATTTACTGTAGGAGCGGTAGTGGAAGGGAACGTGGCGTGATTGACAGCAGGGCGCAGCCAATCAGGGCAGAGCGCGGCCGGTGGGATTTGTATGCCCGGAGCGGAGGGTCTCGGAGCGGCGCGTCTTTATCCGTGTGATCGGCCCCGGTTTGAAAGCTTATCGACGCGTAATCCGACGATGGTTCACCGCAGCGACCGGCTTTGAGATGCGGGTACGCGCGTGGTTGAGGATTCGCCGCAAAGCTCGTGAATCCCCGCTGGAGGAATCGCGGAAAGGGTTTGTTTTGGACTACAACTCCCGTGAGCGCCCGCTTTGTTTGGAAAGCTGCAGGAGGCCGGGTTTTTGTGAATGACGGCCGCTCTCGTCCTATTCCCAGACGCGCTGTGTCACCATGATGCCAAATATGGTAAACGAAACCCACCGTGGCCAATCACATCGCTCTGAGTTAAGTTAGGGACACACACACACACACNCAAAATGAGATTCCATATTTAGATCTGCAATTATTGTTCATTATCAAATGGACTGTTTTTTTTATGAAAAGGAAGATGTGTTGTGGTTAAAGACAATAATAGGCAAAAGTTTTGAGTATCTGCACATTAGAATAAAGCATCCAGTTTTTTAGTGGATTTACTCTTGAGCTGGATATATTAGAAAATACTAACAGACATATCTCATCAAACTCACGACAGCAGACTGAGAGGAAAAAAGTGAAAGACAAATGATTTCTAATATTTCTATAGAGCTTTAATCTACTGTGCAGTTACAATCTATGTGATATTAGACCACAGGAAACGTTTTTTATCAGATTGTATCTTTCTTTCTTTCTTGTCATGATGTGCAGGGACTGAGAAGGACCCATACTATTATGGTGCGTAAAATAATTATTCATAACTTATAACATAAGTCAATCTAACAAGTCATATTTAGTGTCAGTTTTTTTCTAGTCATGTTTCATAATGTTTGACATCTCATCAGTGTGTTGTGTCTGTATCATTACCTTCGGAACAGGCTTGACACATAACATCATATTTGTATGGTGCATGTCAAAGAATCTGTTGTTGAATTTATTGTGATATGTTTGAAACCTAACTTTTCTTGTCTTCCTCCAACACCTTCTCCCTCCTGCAGAAATAATCACAGGTACTGGTTTTTACCATGTCTTTAGCATTTTTTGATTCAGCATGGGTAAAATAAAATAAATTCCAATAAAACCACCATCCAAACTCTTAAGACATTGAGTATTGGCCTATGCACTTCACTTTGGTTTGTCTTCAATACTGCAGTCTTGCTGTCCCTGGTTGCTAAGCTAAGATTGTACAATTCCTGAAAATACGATAAAATACAAAGAGCACTGAACTAAATTCACCGGCCGAGCAAGCTATTCAATATTAACAAAAGCAGATGATAAATGAATTATGTATTATGCATATATTACAGGAGTAGAACACTGACCTTCACTTGATCACACATCACCTCTTCAGTGGCTCTTCTCCTCTAATCGTATCTCTCTCTCTCTCTCTCTCTCTCTCTCTCTCTCTCTGGCACCACTGCATAGAAGAGCCCCCTGTAGATCCACCTGAGGACAGAGTCGCTGTAAGTCACGTCTCACTAGTGATTTCCTCTGTCAGTTGTTGACTTTGTCTGTAATAACTAAATGAACATAAAGATGCAACAGTCGGCTACTTTAGAAAATCTGCCTCTCTCGGACAGTGATGAAAACACAGCCTGTGGCTTATAGCTTATAGTTTCTGGTGTGTGGATTGTGGCCTTGGGAAGGAGCTATAGGTTTCTAACTCTACTTCTTCATGGTGCAGGTTTATGTGGTGGTGGGCATCGCAGCTGTAGCCTTCACTGGTTTCCTTCTCATGCTGGTTATTCTCAAGTTCGGAGGAAACTCCAAGTTTGGCATCAAAGGTAAGAATCCAGATTTGTATCTAAAGTGGCCTCCACCTTTTGAGGGAGGATGAGAACTTCAAGATGAATGCAAAATGATTGTAATTGCTGTTTGGATGTTCGGATGTGTAGATCAAAGTCTAACATGGATAGCTTCATGGATACAATTAAAACATGATCAAAAGATTGGGCCCAAAACAAAAAAATCAGAAACTGGAACCTGATATCACACCAGAACTGACATGAGTTTAAATACAGGGGGGGAAATAATTGTATTGATGTTTTTTAATGCTGATAAACAATAAAGCTGGTCTATATTTATATTTAAAACTTATGTTTATCACTTGTAATCACTTTAGCAACACTTATGTAACATGATGCAGATTTTTAATCGACTATTTTACCTTTTTGATGACATATTCTGATAGATCTTATAAAAAAAATACAAACTGCACCTTTAACTTCATTATGGAAATACAAAGTTCACTTCCTTGATCAAATGTTTGCTCTGTTTTTTTTCTAATTGTTGCTGTAGTGACCTTCAGTTATAGACTTGAGCATATTTATTTACCTTGTCCTCTTAAAGGTTATTTAAGATCAGAAGCTTATCATCTTTAGGCTGAAATATGAGTCCAGATAAGAAAATCTTTGTGTGTGATGTTCAGATTATTCCAGGAGTTGATTGGGTTATTCAAAGTTGCATCCCGCGCTAATCTTGTTTAATACACAGGCCGTCACGTGTCCATGAATCCATCCAGTTCAGGTGGAAACAGCTGCTTTGTGACGGAGTTTATTTGGTCTCAGAACAGCTGGTGAATAACATGCATGTCGACTTAACTGAGTTGTTGTCGTCTTTTACATGTTGACGTATAACTTCTGTGGTCGTCATTACTGAAACAAATCCCCACCCGACACACACACACACACACACACACACACACACACACACACACGCACACACACACGCACACACACACACACACACAATCATGGTGCACACACGCGCAACCACCTCAGTATGTGTGTTTGTGTGTGTTATCAAGCAATCACATTTTTATTCATATAATAAAATAGGAGCGGCATCCTCTGCCATTAACCCCTAACTGGGAAATAAAACCTGTATGTCAATAGTTACAGTATTTCAGAATCAGCTTTATTTGCCATGTTTGTGTACACATACTAGGACTTTGACTCGGGTGTATTGTACTTACACAGAGAGACAATTAACAACACAATGACCAGCAGGCTACAAGGAACTAGCAAAATAAACATAACTTCTGTGTGCAAAGTTGTATTTATACAAAAGAAAATGTCTGGTGAAGTTGAAGGGAGCAGTAATGACATCTGTAATGAGGTATTGCCAATACCAGTAGTGTATGTGAGGAGGCCTACTGTATATCAGTACACGATATCTAGTTGTTATCATATTCCACAATCAGCTGCCACCAAGATCATGGTCCACCATCACGTTCTCGATCCACGATCACAATTCACCATTACCATCACTTTCCCCCATCACGGTAATGATCCAATGTCACGATGTGTGAGTGTGCTTCTGTCTATGTGCTCAGAGGAATACCAATTTGGAAGAGGGCGTGCATATAAATTCTGTATCAATGATAAGATGCATAATCAAAATTTTACTCAGTTTATATGCAACTAATCTACATCCCCCCAAATGGTTAGATTTTGGAAACAAATGTCAGTTTTGCAACAATGAATCAGAATGTTTAGCTGCTTTCAGACACGTGATATAATCTCCAGGTTAAAATAAAGACTATTTTAAAGTTACATGGCCACCAGGACACATATTAATGATTAACTGCTATGTGACTTTAAATTACATAAGTTATTTAGCATATAATAATGAATCGTTTAAACAAAAAGGGCAATTAAATGTCAATCATTGGAAGGCCAACACAGCAGATCACAATTCTTCAAATGTCCCCTTTTCTTATTATAAGGCCTGTTTGAAAATACACAAATGTAACACACCCCCAACTTTTCTAATTGAAAATCCTCAGTTTAATGGATTAGGGTTAGCAAAGCATGCTGTGTGTAAACGAGTCCTCACATACAGCTATGAATTGTGGGTAGTTGAACTGTAAACATTCTCTTATCAATAGCACGTTTGTAGCAGAGTGAGTGAGTGGATGGAGGAAAGATGGGAAACAGAGACACCTGCTGGTGAAAGAAGGTACCTGTAAAAAAAAAAAGTCTAGGTGAGTGAATTTGAGGTCATTGACTCGTATGGTAATAAAATCATATTTTTATATAACTAATAAACTTGGAGTTTCACACCACATGTTTATATTCTGATGTGACCTTTGACTTTGTGGTTAGCAAAATAGCTCGATGTTACTGAATGACTGCGATGTCATTTAAGGTCACTTACAATAAATTATAGATCCTCCCTGATGTCATTGCAGAAATAAATATGTATATTGAATTGCTGATGTTTAAAAAAAGACTTTAACATTGCAGCTGATACTGAGAAAGTTTTGTATCAGGAATCAAAAAATCCATTCATATCGGTCAGACCCTATAAAAATGCTTTGTTATATTTATTATAGTTTGTTATATTTTGTTTTATGAGTAGTAGTAGCACCGGTAATATAATATAAGAGAATCCTGTATAATGTTTCTTTTAACACAAATAGTCTCTGTTCTTTCTATTATCGTTGAGCATGTAGAATAAAAATGATATGTACATTTGATGGTTTTCCTAGTTTAGGATGAATTTGTAACATCTGTTCCTGGACAACGGAGGAAATATAACAACAAAATGTATGTGCACAATCCCTGCTGGAATAAATAAATACATTTAAAAAACTGTTACCTGCAAAACCAAACAATATATAAAACGAATTGCATGTGAAAATGAGAAAGTCTAAAAAGTCTGTCATGTCATAATTCTATGACAATCACAATGCACCATAACTGGAGAGAGGGTTTGTTTTGTTACTATGAGACTGGATGGGTTTGAAGCTGCAGAGGGACTGTTTATTGTCTGGGGACTGTCGGAGCAATTCACACTACTTATCATGAGGCACTGCTGCTGATCTATTTTAGGATCCTCGTCGTTTTAGAGGAGATAGAAGCTCCTCTGTCGACCAGCGTGTTTACCATGAGACTCCTCTCTGTCCTAATGCAACCTGCCCTTCACTTCATTTAAAGTTGGAAGAAAAAAAGGCTTTGAAGCTGGCGACAAATGATGATCAAAAAGGAGCATTTTACTCTTTGGAGTAGGAGTTTTTCATAATAATCTGTGAAACTCAGAAATACATTTTTGGGGATAAAGTGGAGGACCACTGATGAATACAACCTTGATATAAATATTTATATAGTGGTTGTGGCTGCGTTTAAATATCTAGTTGTGTTCAACTCAAGGGTTGTGAGTTTCACAGATTGGCCGACATTTATTTGCACAGCTTATTTCAACAACAAGGCAATAAGTGCTTAATATAGGATATAAAAAGGCATCATGCAATTTAAAAGCAACCTCAGGCAAAACAAAAACGCTTTCAAAAAGAAATATATAAAAAGATAAATCAATAAAATAAGATATAAAGAGTGAAAGTTAAAGGGCATTGTAAGAAATGAGTTATTCGATTTGATAAAAGGCAGTGGCAAAAAGGAAAATGTTCAACATTGATACCTAGAATAAAAGGGATCGCCGTCATTTTAATTGTTGACAATGTGTAAATTGGAGCATGAAAATTTATGCCAAACTTTTTGTAAGATCCCAGATGAACTGTTTCATGAAAATAAGTTGTTAGTTCAGTTGGCAGCAGTAGATCAGAAATGTATTTTTACCTTAAACATTCAGTGATTTTTAAATCAATAGCGGAATTCGAGGGCTTTCTGACCTAAACCCCTTTGTAAAGGTTAACGGTGCTAGTAACAAAAAAATCCATACTGTTGTATCAGCCCCTGAGATGTACTGTAGCAATACTGTATGTGTGCTCAGCTCCTGTTAAAGGACGGAGCAAAGCCTGGCAACAATAGCAACAGCTGTTTAAACATTTACCTGCCTCACCAGCAAACGCTTTGTCAAGAACCTTAAAAAAAACACGAGACGTTTCAGAAACTCAAACCTCCTGCACATGAGGCAACAGCTGGTGATTCCCAATGTATCCCCCCCCCCCGGTTCCTCTGCGTAAAGACTTCTCCTCTCATCCTTCCTGGTGGCTCTACACACCGAAGCCTTCGTCAGCCTCCGCAGATGAACTGGTGTGTGTTGGGGGAGGAAGAGGGATGGCTGGTGCTGCACACTGTTTCAAAATATCCCCAGGCCTGAGGAGCAGGAACAAATCATTTATGCAGCTCCTGTAAACACTTGAACACTAGATGTTAAAGTTGGTCCTGATATGACCATCATACCTGATGATCGAGTCACAAATACATATCGTCCCAATCAGATACTTGGTATGATGCAAACACTTTTGTTGTAAGGGACATTGTTGTTGTCACTGGGGTCAGCTGACCAATGTGAAAGGTGGAACTTAGGAAAAGGTTCAAACAGCATGAAGTTGGTACATGAGATTGCAGACAGATTATAGTGGCAGCATAACAGGAATAAGAGGCGGAGGAGTGGAGGAGAGATAAATGATTGTGTTTGCTTGTTCTCCACATGTTTGCATGGGTTTTCGTGCTTCCTCACAGTGGACGGTTGTTTGTCTCTGGATGTTGGTCCTGTGCTACACTAGGTGACCTGTCCAAGGGTCAACCCCACCTCTCTCCCCAATGTCAGCTGGGATGGGCTAGCTCCCCCAGTGACCCTCAATGGATAAGCGGCATAGATAATGAATGCGTGCATAGTTGGATCTGACATCTTCTAAACCCCCTGTGCTGTCTGTGCTCACCACAATTCACAGGATTCACTGTGTTTGTTACCTGTGGGTAGTGTAAACATTTATCTATGTATCTAGATGTGTGTGTTGAACCTCTAATATGAAATGCAGTGTAGTGATAAGGCCAGGACAAAGAAAACTGTCGTGCAGATATGCAGCCTT